CTGTAAGCGAATGTATTTCTAATCTAATCTGATTCCAATCTACTGTTGGAGCTGTAGACCTGGGTTATGTCTGTGCTGCAGTCATTAAAGGGGGATGAATTAGTCCATCTGAGTATCACGCTACTGTAGTTGGAGCGCTATCAGAAACGAGCTTGTTTAAAATTAGTTTGGATATCTCAGCGTTACAAAGCAGTCATTTATGTGGCTGCAGTGTAGACATGCCTTTAGGTTTATGAATGCTTTGTGAGGGTGGAGCAGAGCAGAAATGAAGAGTCTCCAGCCAACTACGAGCCTACTTTGTCATATATCTCATTGTTATGGCTTAGTTTGTATGTTTTTGAAATAGTGTCTGGGCTATCACATTGTTGTTTTCTGTGTTAATACTTTGTTACTTGATTCTGAAACGTCTTGCAGCTAAAACTCCAGCTCAAGCCATAATTTCCACTGTAACGTTTAATCATTTGAGCAGTCAGCAGGGATGGAAGACTTTAGGCTTTGGAAGCCTTTCAAGTCAGGAATATCATCTAATTGTTTTGAAAAAGATGAAATACATTTGTTTGAAGAATTTCAGACCATTGAAAAGCCTTAGACAAAAGCCTCAGTATTATTATTTGTATTTAGAAAGGTACAGCACACTGTCTGTAGGGGAAAAAGGAAAAACGATGTTTTGAGAATCTGACTGGCAGTCTTTATTAGAGCAGAGGTAATTTTTTCGCTGGACTAAAATAAAAATTCATGTCAGATATAGAGAATGGAGCTGTTTGGGACTGCATTTAGGTTTTTTTTTGTAGGTAAAAAACTCCTTAGCAGTTCAGTTTTAGCTTAATACATCAGTCTCAAGGCCAACTGAAATGGGGGTCTGGTTTCTCAGCTTTGCTGAGGTTTTGATAAATGATCCCATTCTTTTTCTATCTTGAGTTCAAAACGAGATAGAATTTGTTTTAGTTTTGGAAAATCCAAATCAAGATTCATTTAATTCTCAAAGTTGAGTTGGTGATAAGACTTCAGATAATTAGGACCTTTTCCAACTTATTTTTCATACCTATTAGGTATATTTTCCACCTTTAGTGATTGCTGTGTTCAGCTAATCTGCCAATTTAACCAAAGCAACAATTTCACAATGTAGTTTTCTTTCTGATTGTGTGCTGTGTAATCAATATACTGATATAATGTGAGTGTAATTTCCTCTCTTATTTTATCTCCACTGCACAGTATTATAAATAAACAGCTAAAAAAGAAAAGAGAAAGAAAAGCACCAAACAAATCTGTTGCATCTTCTTTTAAGATTGTACCACTGTAGACACTTGTTCTAGTAAAGTAGAATTGGACCCACTTGATTGCATTTAAATTTTTCATGCTTCAGCAGTTTGTCTGGGAGCACAGTAAAGAAAACCCCCCGAGCGAAGATAGTTTAGAATAATAGAACTTGATTTTGTGTATTATAGCGGCACCATTTGCGCTGCTGTAGTTAGGGTTGTGTCAGCACTTCCATTATAAACCCCTGTTTGCAGGGGTTATAACTGGGGAGATATTTTTTATCAGAAACTTTTTTTTAAAATCATTCGAGTGAATTTAATTGATAATAGGAGAAAAATTAAAATAAATTATAACGGAAATTAGTAAATTTCTGATACCTTTTACAAGCCTTATTTATTATGACTATTGATTTTTGTTTTTCTCTTGCCAGGGATTTTAGTAAATGCTTTTTGAATATTTTAGATGTAAAACTGGAAAGTTATTATGGCTTAAAATTTGACTGCTATTCATAATCATATTTTAATATTAAAAAAATTTGACTCAACAATCTGTTCTATGGTTTAATGTTATCATGAACTACTCAAATGGGCCAGTTTATATTTACTCTGTTTTACTGGTTATAAACCCAGGCATAATCAATACTTGGTGCATAACCTGGCACCCTCAGAAGACATGCATGCATGAGGTATATCGATTGAGTTAATGATTGCGCTGGGAAAAGAAGTTGAAGGGCTTAATCTAGCAGCGTCCTACATCTCTGTCCCTTTTACTCCAATGTTTAAAATCTAGCAACCAAAAGCCTGAAAGGTACCACTGAGTGCTGACCTCTGACCATAATTAACTCACTAAATCTTGCCATTTTAACAAAGGTTTTGGGGGAAAATAGAAGCAAAACACACCCCTAAAAATTATGTCATGAGGCGATCAAGTGCCTGGGAGACCTTCCTGAGGTTGTCTGTCTTTTCAGGCTTCAGGACTATAGGTAACTGAGTAAAAGTGCAGTATGAAAACACGTCTGACCACAATGCAGCAGTGGAGGAAAGGGATAGGTGGAGCTAGAAAGCATTTGAACCCTGCTCTTGGTCCATTCTCAGTCCAATACAGAAAAAAGTTGCTGGGCATGTCTTGAGGTTATTACTGAATGTGACTTAGTCAATATCTTTTTTTTTTTTTTTCAAGGTTAACAGAGTTCCTCTTTCTCTATATAATCAACTCAACAGAACATGAATAGAGATTTTTATTTCATTGTGTTTAAAACATCATATGTAAGAGGAAAGTATATTAGTGCATATGGCAAGAAAAACTGTTTCCTCTGTAGCGCAGTTCTAGTAGATAGCTTTACTGAATGGTCACTTGAGGAAATGCTGAAAGCTTGCTTATGAAATAGAGGTGAAGCCTTTCTAGACTAATTATATTCAGCATGTAATTTCTAAACTTCAGTCTGAATTTTGATTTTCAATTAACATTCCCAATTTGAAGATAATTTTCTATTTAATGTAATTGCAGGAAATAATTTATTGGCTGATTAAGACTGAGGGCCCAGCCTTCCTTAAGAAAACAGTCCCTAACAAACCAGCCTTTAAAGCCAACTCATAGCTTTGGACAGATTCAGCCTATTTTTGCAGCTGCAGAGTTGTGTTTAATTAGGATTGTGCACTATTATTCATTGGTGTAGTTTGTAGTTCAAATTATTCTTAAGAGACATTTTCATTTCTAGTTTTGTGTCATGATTAATTTATGGTGAAAAAACAGCCATAGCTATTGCTTTTCACAGAAGCTCGTTCCGTTTGAAACAGGAACGAGATCTGCTGAGAAGGTGAAAAAAAGGAAAATCCTTTATTGTGACTTTCAGTTTTCATCTCTGGTTTTCAAATTGCATAGAGCGTTGACTTATATTTTCACGTGAGTGATTACATTAACATGACTGTTTTAATGAGAAAAGGGAAAGTAAACCTTTTATTTTATCTTGGATCATAGTAATTATGAACCACAACCTTTTGAAGTACGCACAATAATGCTGACTGCCGAACTCTTGGCATGTTCTCTGTAGCATCAACACAAATTCTTTAGCGTAGTAAGAATGTAATACGTGGTTTAAATTCCTCAGTTCTGCTTATTGGCAATATTAATATTAGACTCCCACTTAGGGTCAGGCTTCCCTAAAGAAAACGCAAACCTTTTTTTCCCCACCAGTATCGAGTTTAAGAGGCAGGATTATCTCTATTTACAGAGTAGTTATTCTAAATAGGTATCAGTGTTTTAATATGTTTCAAAGCACTTCAAAGCTTGTAATACTTTCATATAGAACTGTACATAATTAGATTAGTTGATCCTATATTAATTTTTTTTTCACTGTAGGATACTAAATCTGAACTCCCTCATTAATTGTGAGAAATTTAACATTAGCTGTTAAATCCTATGTGAAACACAGGCTGCTACATAAAAACTACTGTTTAAATTGGAATTAACTTAATTATTTTTCTTTGCACTTGATATTTCCTTCACTGTAATATTCATGAAAGCATGTGACAGATTTGTAAATTTAACTGTTAGTCTCAGATTTCCAGACCCTTTAATCAGTATTTATTTGTCTGTAGAAACAGTACTAGCAAGTTAATGATTTGCTAATTTGAAAAATGCTCGTGTGGTTTCCTATGTTAACTGATTTGTGCATTTTTAAAGAAATGGTATGAAATCAATTATTGTTAAAAAGCAATTAAGGTGAAGATCTTATTCCTTAGTTTCTCAGCAATTTCAGTGTCAAGGATATTCTAAAGTTACTGAAACCTGGGAAAATAGCTAATGTACTTTAGCTGTCTTCTTTCAGGTTTATTAATGATTGTTTTAACAGTTGCAGTTAATCTTGTTAGAAATTTTAAACAAAGTGTTTTCAGATTTTGAGTTGAAGTCAGTTATATTTTCATCTAAGTGCAGAAACTGTGGTGAAAGCTGTGTTTGCATACGAGATGGTAGTAAGAGGCCATTATTAGGAAAAGACATTCACCATAAATCAATGCATTTATTCATTACACTTTTAAGTCATTTAAAGTAATTCGTTGAGCTATATCCTCTACTCGATGCCTAATATGAAATGAAACATAATTATTTTAGATTTTTAGTTAAAACTATAAAAAATTACTCAGCTATTATCCATCCATTCAATAAACCTTTCAGTTTAGAACACTTTCCACATGAATGTCTCAAAACACTTCCCAAAACGGGTAAAATTTTAAACAGGTTAAGAGCTGATACAGCTTTAAACAAACAGCAAAAAGACTTATTTAGCAGAATTTGAAATGGATTTCAAAAATTCTCATCCATGTAGAAAATATCTTCTGCTTTCAAGGAATGAAGTTAGGAAAGCTGATGGACTCTCTCATTAAACATTTGCTTGCAACCTTCAGATTGTTCATGGGAGTAAGAGTTTAAAAACTTGAACTCTTATGCAAATCAACATGAAAATACCAACTGAATCACTAGTTTCTTATGGCTGGAGAAAATTATATTGTTTGACAGGTCTAAATGAATAGAATGACATAATATAACCCTGACCTTGACTTGGCATCACTGAATACTTTATCTCAGTGTTTTGGATCCAGATCCCCAAACCCCGTACTTTTTAGAGTACTTTTGTTGACTGCAAGTGATTAATTTTTAACTGTTGTAGGCAAGTGTGGTGTGTTTAGAGGACTATTTTGAGCTTGATTTTTTTCATCTAACACCAGTGTTTTCTTTTTTTGTAGAAGAATGTCTTCCAAGCAGGCTACCTCTCCATTTGCATGTGCAGCTGATGGAGAGGAAACAATGACCCAGGACTTAGCATCACGAGACAAGGAAGAGGGCAACAGTGATCAGCATGTGACCTCTCATCTGCCTCTACATAATGTAATGCACAACAAACCTCACTCTGAGGAGCTACCAACTCTGGTCACGACCATCCAACAAGATCCTGAGTGGGATGGAGTCATCTCAACCCAACACAGAATGGTGAGTTTCACAGTTCTCACAGTGGCTTTCTAAATTAGTATTGTCAAAGACTGTTCACTTCCATTTTGAAAGACATGTTCAGTACAATCCTTTATGAGTGTAAAGCTTTTTAAATGTTAAAGTGTCAGTGTTAGTAATAGATCAACATCTATATGGTGTAATTGTAAATTACAATTGTATAATCTTCTTAAATATACAGGTCTATGTGAATGAGGTCATTTGATGAGTTCACCTTCGGAAGGGAAATGCATCTATTTATCATGTTTTCACTCATAGCTTGATTTATGTCATAACCTCTCTAGCTCATATATTCAAGCATTAATTTCTGACAGGAAGATGTAGCTCACAACTGTGTGTCATCTGCAAAGTGTTGTGCTGAAGGAAGAAACCTTAATGTATTTTTTTCTCTTGTCTCTCAGAAATAGAACCCACCAAACCTAGAATATTACAGCTTTACACAACAACAAAGAAGCTGGCATTTTAGGTGACACAAACATCCTGCTGTATTTATAGGAAATTACAACTTTTTGTGGAGGGGAAAGGTGTTTATGAGTAGCTATGTCATGCTCTTCTGCTCTAGATCACCGGTTTGTATATAGGTGATGTTAGCAATGATCAGAATTATTATCTGTATTCTCTTCAGTAGCCTAGATAAAATTATTTTGCAGTTGTAATTCTGTCTCTGCATCCCCAAAACTCTGCAATAAATGAGTAGACTAAATGAAGACTGAATGGGCATAGCATCTCAGTCAATTTGTTTTCCTTGCATGTGTTCCTCAGGAAGAGAATTAAGGTACGTGGAGCCGCCAGGTGTTCTGTAAATTTAGAACATCATAATTCCAGACTCTCCATAAAGTGACTTTCACAGACCTTAAATTCACACTGTTAGTTTAAAAAGAATACTCTGCCTTCTCTTAACATTTTTATACATTTCTTCTCTTAACATTTTTCTACATTTTTATTAAATTCTATGAGAAGATTTTTTTTCAGCAATTATTTTTTTTTTTCAGTACGAATCAGCAGCTTTCAGTAAGGTAAAAAAGCAATTGTAGCATTTTTTTGACAGTACTAACAATAAAGAACTTATTTCAAATTTCACGAGAAATAATATTTCTAATGCATTAATCAACATAGATACTAGAATTCTTCATGCATATTGTGTGATGTCTGGAATTAATTAAATAATAGCACTACAATAATGTCTATTTTGTTAATACAGTGGCTTTTTTTTTTCTAAAATCCAAATCAAACCACTACCTAATCTGTAATGCACAATTTAACCCAGTGCAGAACTTTGTTAGGCCTAAAATATTCCTAAGTATTTGAGTGACTGTCATGAAGAAGACAAAATTTCAACTGTAAAAATGGTTTTAAAGAAAAATGATTATAGGTTAGTAATTTGACAAGGTAGGTTGTAAGTTGTCTATATGGCTTCTATGCAAAATTCTCAGATGGAACCTCATTTTGGATGGAGAATCACTCTTTTGCCCAAGTCATGCAATAAGTACAGCAGAATAATTTTAACTTCTATGTTACCAGGAGGACAATACTGGAAAGGATTGATCAAGTTTGCTGATGGAAAAAAATAATCTGTGAATTCATCAGCTACTTTCCTATTAATTCAGATAGACATGTGCACTCTGGGAATTTCGGTCTTACATGTTACACCAATAACATTGATAAGATGACTCTGTGTCCCAGAGAGAAAGGAGCTCCTAGCTTCTAGGAGTCCTTCAAAGCATTTGGTTTTGGTTCAGGCTGTTTCTTGGACCTGGAGTAATGCTTAAGCCAAAATGATAGAACCTCTTGCAGTATGATCAGTTGTACTCATTTGTATTGCTCTGAAGTGGGTTTACACTTACAGCAACAGAGTGCAATCTCTGTTTTCTTTCGTAGTGTTGCACTATCATGTCAATGCTTGCTGTACCTCTGGACAGGCAGGAATCCAATCCAGCTTATCGTGTTTCAGAACAGGTGCATAAACTTTACTTGAGTGACTTAGCACTCTGGTTTTCCTCTCTTCTTTTTTTTCCAGTAAATATTCTGTCATATATGTAGATGAATGTCCGGAAAATCATTAGGCATTTCCACAATTCCCTTGGGTTAAATCTGGTGGTGGATGTATGTCATCCGTATTTAGATAGCTCTCGGCTAAACCAAACAGATTGTTTTTGCCCAGCTCAAAGCTGGGTGTAATTTACAAGGCTTGACTAGAAGTGAAAACTGAAATTCTGAGGCATGCTGTTTGGTTGCACTTAAGAGATCAAAAAGGTACAGAGCAAGTTCCCAGTGTATTTACAGTTTAGGTGAGTTAGATGACTAGTTAGATCACAACAGTGAAGTGGTGAAAATTTTTTTTTTCCTCCTTGAGGGACTGTCAATAAGGTAGCTTATTTGATTTTTTTTATTATTATTTTTTTTTCTTCCTTATTTATGTTCTTCATGAGCAAACCTTTAAGCCTCAATTGATTGCATAAAGTTTCTCTGAATCACCTCAGTCTCCAAGCAGGCATCAGTGTTGCTCAGAAAGAATTCAGAGGCGCTTGCAATTTTCCGGATGAAGGCAATTTAATGCTCCTTTAAGGGAGGTAGGAGCTTCTTTCCAGAAAGACAAATTCCAGAAGGTGGATTGGGCAATTTTTAGATAGGTGCAGTGGTAGTGACCGCTTTTCTACTTAATAAAACCAAATTCCCAGAAGGTAGGTGCTTTCTGACCTTTCCCAGACGGATCCTTTCAAAGCAGATTTGAAGAAGCACCTGCTCATACCATTTACACTGAAAGTAAAGACAGTAGTGCTGTCATTAAAATGCATCAATAATGTGTGTTGTCTGGTTATAAGATAGTAAATTCAAGGAATGTTGTGTCGACATATGGGGAGGAAAATTTTCTCTTTTATGTGGTACCTAATTAAGGGCACAATCCTGCATCCTTTTTGCCCTTAAAACTACTAAGGAGTTCACTGGAATTTGTGACAGCACACAGTGTGCATTGTAACATGCTACAAGGGCTGCACAGATCTTAGGTTAAAAAAAGATACTGCAGTAGGGCAATTTAACTGAAGAAAAAAATGAGTTTTTTTCCCCAACATTTATGGTATGCAGCACTTTGTGTAATATAAGATACCTTTAAATGGCATTGTGTATTATCATAAAAAAATCCTACACTGGCTAGAAATGTTTTCAAACTTTCACTCCCTTTTGATATCAGGCATTGCTTTCCACTGAGTCCTTTGTGTATTCTGAATGTCTGGAAGCCAAAATATTTTGTTTTAACTCCCACTCTATAGTATTTCCCAGCTGTGTACTTATATGGTGTAATAAAAGGATTTAACAAATGGGAAATAGCAGCTGCATTTGGAAATTCCCTTTGTGCTCCCTTTTCATTTGACAGATTCAGCAATGTGTAACAACTGTAACGTCAGACCTGTAATGACTTACACTGTGAGTATCGTATCACCAGCCAATTTGATGTTACAGGGGGGAGAAAATAAAACCACCAAAAGATTTCTGTAGTTTCATATTGCTGAGCTGAAAAGGTTATATGTATATTTCTGACTGTAACTTAATATAAAAATACCTGGACATACGGGTATTTATTACGGCCTGTCGTTCTACTTGAAGATAAAATCTGGTTTAGGCTAAGGATTTATCTGTTTGCTGCAGTAAACTGTAGTGAAGAGGGCAGAGTGGTATTAAGATACTGAGGAATCTATCCTGCTTTCTCCCATGGACAGTGAGTAGCAGGCAAGAAATACAGTCAAATTTTTAGACCGCATCCAAAACCTGGCTCTCTTGGGGCAGCAGACTGAGAGAGGATGAGGGCGGAAAGCCAACAATACTTTTGCTAAATTTAATAGTAACTGAGTTGTTGTCTCCCACTAATATGCTTACTAGTAAATATGTAAAGAAATGGAGAATCATAATTTATGCTTTGTTCATTGGGGAACCAGGAATGGTCCTGATCTTCACACAGGGCCCCCACAGCTTGTGAAATAAATGCTGAAGGTTTTTTATTTTTGTTCTCAAGTATCAGGAGAAAGCAATGCCAACAATAAGATGCGAAATTAGATGGACAAGTGGCCTGATCTTCGAGGAATGAGATGGTGTATTCCCATGGCTGTAAAGGCTAGACGTGGGCCTTGCGAACAATAAATTTGAGCAGCTTTAACTTTATGAAATCTGCAGTCTTTCTCCCAATCACAGAATCCCTCCCCGCCACCTCCAACAGTTAAAAAAAAATGAGAGGCAAATTGTGTTCCCATCCCCAGTCCCAGTATAACAGTCTGGTTATGGACAGGGTTTGTGAAGAACTGGCGGGCCCTGTGCTGGCTGCTGTACGTGATGAGGTATCACTGTGATGGTTGTCGCCGTACTCTTTTCTTTTCCTACCCATGTTCCTCCCCTGCCCACCACCATAGGAGGTATACAGTCAGTGTGTACATGCACAGAATGAGGGCATCCACATCTTTTTGCTCTGCTTTTACTTAGAATGATGCAATGGGAGACAGTTACAGGGAACCACAGCAGCAAGTCAAGTCTAAATGATGGGTTACTTCCCTGTGACTGAGGAAAACCAAACACATATACATATACAAATACAAGTTAAGTACTTCCAAATATATGCTACATTTCTCCATACATTTTGTAACATCATACAAAGACCTCTTGGATTTAGAAATGAAATGTATCTCATTGGATTTTGTCTCAAATAACAACATCAACATGTATTTCATAGTTACATCAAGTCTCTGTCTTTTGTTGACTTCTTGCCAAAAGTGAAAGGCTTACTACCTTTCCACTATGTCTGCATGTACACTTCAGCAGTACTGATTGCAGATTTGTATATGCAGCCACGTAAAAAGGTGCCACATGTATTTATCCCTTTTAAAATAATTTTAAATCACCAAGTATCAAATTTAACTTTATATAGCTTTAGCAAAACTACTGGCATCAGAAAGGCAGAAATAGGTGGTATCCTGAAGGTCTTAATATTTCAGTGC